TTTTTTTTTTTTTGCCTTTTTTTTTATAATTTTATATGACCATTGCCATGACCATGATAAGGATGGTTCATGGTTCTTTTCATCTTTATCCCCCCTTCACTCGTCTATTTGTTGTATTCCAATAGGGCTTTATTTATCCTACCACAATCACCTTCGCGCTGTGGTTACCTCCTTCGGCTCCTTCCCGTCTAACTCTCCCTGTTCCCTTGGCTGTTACACAATTCTTGACTGACCGTCCGCCATCCATCCTTCCAATTTTGGTTCCTTCTGCCTCTTCTTTACCTCTATCCAAACATCTCTTACAACTTGTGGTGTACGACATCTTCGGGACATCATTCACCACAAATGTCCTTAAGAACCACTACGTTAACTAGGCAACTTGAGCCCCTTTTAAATCTTACGTCTCTAACTACTTTCGAATCCTTATTTTTCATCTCAAAGCTCCACTGCGTCACCTCATACCTAACATATAAGGCCAAGGAACATAGACAAAACTGTCAACGGAAAACATTATACTCCCGAAACGTACATTAGGAGTATCCCAAGCTCTCTATCACTGTCAGCCTTATATCAATAGTTCTCCGCCCCTACTTGCGACTATGCGTATAAAAATATGCGTATAAAAATATGAATAACCCTACAGCGGACGCGTCCTACAGGAGAGATACCATCTAGTCGCCGTTCCTTTTCATTCATACGCTCCTGAGTAATTCGAGCCTCACGAAGCTAGCAATACTCTAAATCCAACTGAGACAATCTTCTTCTAGTTGACTTTTAAGGACGACCCGACCTTCGCTTGTTATGATAGCTGTCCTGCGGAACAGTGCTAAATCTTTTCTCTTTCTGCGATTAGGGGGATACTTGCTAGTGAAGAGCGATTTCCTTTGTTCGCCACAACTTGGTTTCTTGCTAGATGCGACCATCGTGAGAGGACCTTATTTCTCGATCGTGGATCTTGGCTATGGAGGAAAGATTTCTGTTGACTGTGTATGGTCGAGGGTTGGAAATGCGGAGTTGATAGGGTGTATATGACTAGTAGTAGTGTTGATCCAGGGTCGGGATTTACTGGTTTAGGGAGGTTCAAATTAATCTCCACGTGAGTGGAAAATATCCAAAATAGGCATTTTACTTGTTTAGACATGTTTATAGAGTTAGAATAAATTAACTAATGGTGAGATAGATCTACGTAGTTAAATCATCTATCAGCATAGTCAACTGTCCGGCAGCTTCCTCCGATCAAAGTAAACCATATGATACTTTTGAATCGAACACTTCCTAACTCCTAACTCTGTAAGCATGTGCGCAGTTGGAGGAGTTTCACATGATTTAATTTTTTGACAGATCTAAAATCCATGCATTGTCATACTACTATTAGTAGTCGTACATACTGACAGAGTCATTCTCCGTGACTCCGTGTCCAGGGTCACATTTCGGTGGATCCCCGCCACCCCGAGGCTGAGCGGCAAGTCGTCATCCCATCCGTTTCTGGCAACAGTTCCCCGGCTCACGTTTCCGCACCCCCCGAATGCTGACATGTCAGTATAAGAATCTGCCGCTGTCCCCGACATCTGCTCCTAATCCTGATTTCGCATGGTGACTAGGGCGAAATGATACTGTGCTGGTGCGTGAAAACGCTGATGGCTCTATTCGTTCGTTAGTTCCGCCCGGATGCCACCGACGCGATGAAGGACCCTAGAGCCGCAGTGCGTATTGTGGAAGTGGGACCGCGGGACGGCCTACAGAGTATTAAAGACCCGGTGCCAACGTCCGTAAAAATCGAGTTGATTCGACGGCTCCGCCAGACGGGCCTGCGAACCATCGAGTTGACGTCGGTTGTCTCCCCGCGAGCGGTCCCACAGTTAGCGGATTGTCGAGATGTGTTGCGCACAGAAGATATCAAATGCCTGCAGAAAGAACCCGATATTCGTCTCCCGGTGTTGGTTCCCAATATGAAGGGTTTGGATATAGCACTCGAATACGGTGTGAAGGAGGTCGCGGTCTTTGTCAGCGCCACAGAAGGATTTAGCAAGGCCAACATCAACTGCACCGTGGATGGGGGTCTAGAAAGAGCCAGGACAATTTCAGCCAAGGCTATCAGCTGTGGCCTGGCGGTCAGGGGGTAAGTTCGCGTCCCAGGCAGGATAAATACGTACTTGTGACTGACACTCGGTGGAGATACGTATCCTGTATATTCTCTGACCCTTTCGACGGGCCGACGGCCCCGCCAGCGGTGCTCCGCTGTGTGAGGGAGCTAATTGAAATGGGATGCTACGAGGTTAGTCTCGGAGACACACTGGGCGTCGGTTGCCCCGATAAAGTACGAAGTCTGCTGGCGTACCTGGACGAAAGCGGCATCCCTCTCGACTTGCTGGCGGGCCACTTCCATGATACATACGGACAAGCTGTAGCGAACACCTGGGAAGCATACAATTGTGGACTTCGTGTGTTTGACAGCAGTATCAGCGGCCTGGGTGGTTGCCCCTATGCACCGGGGGCCAAGGGAAACGTCGCCACCGAAGATCTAGTCTACATGTTTCATAATGCTGGCATTGACACCGGGCTTGATCTGTTAAAACTGGTTAAAACTGGCCTGTGGATATCGGGTAGACTCAAAAGGGAGAATGCAAGTCGAGCTGGACTAGCACTCGCCCACACACATGGACTAGTCTGTCCACCGCATCATACGAAGCAGACATTACCCAACTCGGATATTTCTTGGTCTCCTGTGATGGCAAAGGGAAAGCTGCTCACGTATCGCTCAGGTGGCACTTTCAAGATCGTACTGAATCGGCCGAAAAGAGGCAATACTTTGACGCAGAATATGGTTGCAACCCTCGTAACTATCATCGAACAGTGCAACAAGGACCCCTCACTCTCGAATATTATCATCACTGCAACCGGAAGATTCTTTTGCATGGGGATGGATCCTGGAAAGAGCGTCCCGTTCGTTGCTCATGGTAGCACGGGCGATCCCCGGGTCAAGCGCCTCTCTATGCTATTGGAATTGATCGATCGTTCTCCAAAAACGACTATTGCCTGTATAAATGGGCCCGCTTTCGGTGGTGGCGTTGACCTGGCACTTGTTTGTGATGTTGGGATCGGTGTTAGGACCGCTACTTTGACCCTTGCTGAAGCGAGATTTACCCAGGCGGGGGAGTCTGGCTTGGGCTGGAGGAGCGCGTTTATACGCAACGCAATATTCTCAACTCGCTCCGCTACGGCCGAGGAGCTGAACTCATTAGGCGTCATCTCCGAAGTCGTGGATGATCAGCAACAACTGCAAGACGGCCTCAATAATTTAGTTGCGCGATTGGACAGCTCTAGACCTGCTAAACCGCGAATGTCCAGAGACTTTGCGCGGTTCACCAGAGCAAACGCTGAGAGGGAGGGACAAGTTGCCACTCTAGACGAAATCTTTTTCCATGTTATGAAGCCCGACGTCGGTCGAGAAGACATGAAGGCATCCCAAAGAGGGCGGAGAGATGATTGGAAACGTGCACTGAAGAGTGTTTGGGGACAAGGTCGTCGACGAAAGAAGGAGACAGATATATGATGAATCTATGACTATGTATATGTAGATAGTCTAGTAGTTGTAATATATCTATAAAGCTTGGCTATAAAGCACATGTAATATAGAAGTCGCTCTATCTATGCCAAGTTCAGGTTGTTAGTGCTTACTTCACAACCCAAATTAGGTACCTCTACTACCATTTAATTAGTAGTCCAAAGACAAGGTGACACCCGCAGATAAGCGAGTGACACTCTCTATGAGAAAGTCCTAGCATCGCACTTGTCTTCCTCCCCGCACGATCAAACATTGTCACCCAACAGTCATTCCGAGTAACACCAAGATGGTTCAACGACAAGATAGCACTCCATTCACACCGCAATTCGACTCCCTAGTCCAGGAACAGCTGGAGAAATGGAAGGTGCCTGGCGTCACAATTTCAGTGGTCCACGGGTCGAGCACTTATGCGAAAGTATGCTATAAATTTTATGATTGACTGGCTGTGGAGCGCTGGAATGTTTTACTGAGAATCTCCCTAGGCATACGGATTTGCGGTACTCCCAGACAAGGAAATGACCCTTGACTCTCTCTTCACCACATGTAGCACTACTAAAGCCTTCACTGCTGCTGCTGTATCCATGGCGATTGATGATAGTATAAAGTCTCCCTCACCGCTCACATGGGATACACCGATAGCATCACTGATTCGCGATGATTTTGTTCTCGCCGACGACCATGCCACGGTGAACACGACACTGGAAGATGCTCTTTCGCATAGGTCTGGTTTACCAGGCCATATATATGCGATGGTCGGTGCATATCCAGATGAAAGCTTGCGCGACGCCGTTCGAAAACTGAGACATTTACCTCTAGCATACCCACCGCGGACGACGTTTGACTATTGTAATCACATGTTCATGGTAGTCTCTCATGTTTTAGAGAAAATCGCAGGCGAGCCACTCGGTGAGATCCTGAAAAAGCGTATCTGGGATCCGCTCAATATGAAAGATACGTACTTTTCTGTCCAGGATGTCAAAAGATGTCCATCGACTAGCCCACGGCTGGTCCAAGGCTACACGTGGGTTCCAGAAAAAGGTTCATACGTGGCCGAACCGCATATGAATTATGCACCTACGACTGGAACAGGAGCCATAGTCAGCAATGTTCTCGATTACGCAAAGTGGTTGAGGGCCTTGATATACCAAGCAGGACCTATATCACGGGAGGGACATGCGGCAGTTGTTCAACCCCGGAGTGTGATCTCTAACGATGAACAGGATACTGTATATCCACCTGCACCATACCACTTATATGCCCTAGGCTGGTTTGTGGACACTTACCAGGGCCAGCATTTATACTGGCATAGCGGGGGCTGGCCTGGATTCGGGATAATGGTGGGGTTCATTCCGGAACTACACTTCGGGTTTGCGATAATGGGGAATACACAGAGGGCGAGAAATGCGCAGTTGGAGTTATACCTCTACTTGATCGATACATTGCTAGGAGTTTCTGGCAATGAACGGGCACAGTTCGTGGCAAAGATGACGAAGAGAATGAATGGGATCGCGGAAATGAACTCTGAAAGTATTAATGACTCGAAGAAACGATTATTCCATTCCATTCCTGCCATGCCAATCCCCCATTCCCTACCATTGGATGGGTATACTGGGGCCTATAGGCATTCAGGTTATGGTGTCATTACGTTGAGGGTCGAAAATGGGCATTTATATTCGGACCTAAGAGACCGAGTGGAAGCGATGACAATCCAATTGGAGCATGCAGTAGGAGAGTTCTTTGTGGCAAAAATATCCACGCATTCTCTGTCTCAATGTTTCAAGGCCGAATTTTATGTCGACTCGACCGCGACTGCACGGAAAGTTGGGATGGAGTTGGAGCCAGCATTGGGCGATAAGATGATTTGGTTTGAGCGCTGTCTGTAAATATGCTGCCTATTGTACGAAATGGTGAGATTGATCTCACTGGTTATATCTCTCTTGCTTTCAAGTTGTAGAAGATATATCGGTGATGTTATGGTGGGACATATCGCATTGCTAGCCCCAGGCATCTATCACACCGAGGGCCTGGGTGATCGGCAGAATCCCCACTAGGCTGCCTGATACTGCCTGGTATTGCCTAGATTAAGATAAATTAGTGGAGCTTACGCCTAGAGAGCGGTATGCATTCTGCCGTCTATAGGGTAACCTAAGTTGTTTAGAAATTCTATTTAAGAAGCTTCGAACTCCTGGTAGAGATGTGTGTGTATTAGACTTTACCCTTCAATTCTATACTCTTCTATCCTTGACGAATTCATTTACTCTATTTTTCCTGCCATTGATACGTTTTGCGCTGGATTCCGAGGTCTAAGAACAGCTCACCATGGCAGCCATACATGCTCTTCCATCGTTGCCAGCAAAGCACCAGGATTTTGTTGGCTGGGTCAATGAAAACCAGCCTACCCAGATTAGTGAGCTCATCAAGCCTTTCAATGAGTATGAATCAGTCATACGCAAACTCTTTGCCCAGGAGCCATCCCATCCTGCTCTGCGGGACAACCATCTCAATATTGTACCGCTCTATGGCCTGAATGGGGAGACATTGGTTTTAAGTCGGCCCCGGAATCCGACCTCAGAGCCCCCCGAACTTCAGGAAAAGTACATAATGGCTTTGGATGCTGAGTCTCGCAGAAAATACGGCGATCCTGCGGTGGCGTCGAAGTTGGAGGAGTTTCGGAACAATTTTAACATCTTCTCGGAAGGGTCTTTGAGTGACATGGACTGGAGCAATGTCGTCGTCGCAGGAAGCGCCGTAGTGACTTGCCTCATGCCAGTCCCAGAAGAGTACCGAGGCTCAAAGCGTGCATTGCGCCAGTTCTATCACGACAAGTACGCACCTGCATCGGACGTCGACCTTTTCCTGTACGGCTTGACCGAAGAGCAAGCAATTGAAAAGATAAAGCAGATAGAAGAAAAGATTCGAAACGCCATTCTCTATGAGACGACGACCATACGAACCAAGAACACGATTACTATCGTTTCACAATACCCAACACGCCACGTGCAGATCGTCCTTCGTATCTACAAGTCTATATCTGAGATTCTGACTGGGTTTGATGTTGACTGTTCCTGTGCTGCTTTTGATGGTAAGCAAGTCTACGTTTCACCACGTGCTCTTGCTGCGTATATCACCCAAGCGAATACAATTGACCTGACTAGACGGTCGCCATCTTATGAAAACCGTCTTTCGAAATACTCGCACCGCGGGTTCGAGATATTCTGTCCGCAGTTGGAGCGAAGCCGCATTGATCCAGTAAGGCACCCTTTTCGCAAAGTGGTTGGAACGTTCCATCTGACAGACTATTAGACTGTTTACGAAAGGAGCTTCTCAAGAACAGTCGGCCTGGCACGTCTTCTAGTTTTGGAGAAGCTGCCAAAGTCATCCGATAGGGACGCCTATCTAGAGCAAAGACGACAGGAGCGTGGCCGTCCAGCACGGAATCTTCGGATGCGCAATATGAGGTCACTGAATGGTAACATCAAAAATGATTGGGAAGACGAAACACCAGAATGGATGGAGGGTGATGAAAGTTCAGATTATAACACTTTTGTGAGTTCCATACTTCCTAGATCTAAACCTATCCTCGCTGACTTCGTCCGAAGACTATACCATACGGACCGAAGTTTCATGCCAGGAGGATTGAGCGACTATTGTATACAAAAGATTTGTTGCTCAATGCGGAATGGAATAAACCAAAGGATAGGGATGTTAATCTTCATCGACACCCGGCGTTCTTCGGTAATGTGGATGATGTAATTCACGACTGTTGTGGATACTGTCCCGAGCCTGTGACTCCAGAAGAAAAGGAGATAGCAGAGAAAGAAAGCAAGAACTACATAACGGGAGATATATCGTTCATCAAAGACGATCCAGGACGCCAAGAAATTGGCAGCTTTAACCCAATCACAGAATCTGACTGGACAGGTTCGTCTCGCATCTTGCTGTTGCTTTGCTATGTAGCCCTGACTAATTGGTATAACAGAGATGGCCTATGTTGGTAATACAGAGCAGCTATGCCAGGCTATCGTTGACCATGACCTTGCTGCAGTCAAGGAGTGGCTTAATAATGGAGGAGATCCCAACAGTCGCGACTATACTGGAAGAACCCCCTTACATCTGGCCTGTATGGCTTCTACGCCAGATATTGTACAATACCTTGTCAATCATGGTGCAAGGTTAATATCTCGCTTAGCGGATGGTAGGACTGCATTACACCTTGCGGCCGCCAGAGGAAGTGTCGAGCTTATCAAAATACTACTTCACAAAAGCGAGGAAAACGAAGCTGAGGAGGATAAGAAGAATGAGCTCCGTAGAGGAAAGAGAGACAATGGTGGCCAGAGTGAAACCAACGAAGCCAAAAGCGAACTATATGACATCGGAACACTTAGTATGGAAGTGGACGCAACCTCATACACTTCGGGATCTTTTGTCAAAGTCCAGAAAGAAAGTGACGTCACTGAGGGCACCGAAAATCTACCTGATGACGAAAATATGCAAGAACCGGACATTTACGATATAAATGTGCTTTCTTGGGACAGTCACACATCCCCGCTTCACCTTGCCATACTCGGCGGCCATGTTGACGCAGTAGAAGAACTCGTTGCTTCTTTCGGAGCCGATGTGTTGCTACCCATTAAGTTGCTGAACGACTATAACAATAGTCCAAGAGCTGCAATTCTTACGCTGGTACTCACACTTCAACTACCCATTGAGAAGGCTACAGCCATGACCGAAAAGCTTCTGCAGTTGGGTGGTTCACCCGTACAGGCTGACCTCAAACACAACACGCCATTACACTACGTCGCTGCTTCCACATATAACAATCTTATAGACGTCTTCCTGCATCAGAACAAGCCAGCTACCCAGAAAGCGATCAATCATCTCGCTTTTGTTGGATATTCGTGGAATCCTGAGGCTTACTCCGCATTTATGACCGCCATTAATACTAAGAATACTATTGGTGCGATGAAGCTACTTGAAGGTGGTGCTGAGGCTTCGATCGACTTTGGGAAATTTGTGAAGTCTGGTCAAATAGCACTCGACGGCATCCGTACAAACTCATCCGAAAGAAATCGAGAGATCTTCCGACATAATCTTACGCAGCCCGTTATTATGGCTGTTCAAAAAGAAATGCCCGAAGTGGCTCTGGAGATTATGGCTCGTGGAGTTGATCCCAACACATTAGCTCCAGAAGGATATCGCGTGCAGGATGAGGAATACATTCGCGATAGAATCCAGGGTAAATCTCTCCTAGACTGTGTCCGTGATAAGATTCGGCAATTGCGCCAATACAAAGGAGAGACAGTTGTGTCACGAGCTCCAGGACCGCTGGAGCCTGCTTCCCTCTATCTTGATGGTTTGGGAGACGACACATACAAGTTGTGGACAGCGAAACGACAATTGAGTCAGGCGCAGAGGTCATACAAGAAGAGCCTAAAGATACACGAACAAACAATGAGAGAAGCCGAAAACAGAAAAGGCGTTGAGTTGAAGATACACGCCGTACGTGACCTTGTTGAACAGTTCGAGAAACTGGAAGTTGTGTTGCTCGAAAAAAAGGCGAAGACTTTCAAGGAGCTGTTTCCAGACCTTGAAACACCACAAGTCGAGGAAGAAACACCGTCACCTATAAAAGATGTCTCTGACTCTTTCAAGGTGGATTTCACATTCAATGTATCTGATCTCACTGATGAGAAAAAGGATGGATATCTTAGACTGTGAGTGTCCAGTGAAGATTGTAACTCTACGTTTATTTCAGGAACTGATATTATGAAGCTTTGAGGCAGCCTGGTGTGGTGACTTAGATATCATCAAGACCCTCACTCTCAGTATGTGGGGGGAGGATAATGAGCAACCTCCCCTGCAAGTTGCCGTGACAGATTCCAACAGGCTCTCACCATTCTCGATTGCAGCTCTCCGGGGACACCTGGGAGTAGCGAAAGCAATCATAAAGATTGTCCAGGTGCAGTTCAAGAAAAGAGAAACTAGGGGCCACGAAAGGTTTGAGATCGGTAGCGATTGCAGTGATGGGGATTCAGGGGACAGTGGCGATATTCGAATCTACAGCGAGATTATTGACGATAGGTTTACCATCGATGATATAGGTGAGGTGGCCATGCATGTGGAGAGCCATGTCACTCCGCAGGAGGTAATACGGTGGCATTGTCCAGCATATATGTTCACCGATGCTGATACCAGTGCTAAGACTCGCAAGAGTCCCTTTGGCAAGCCATCAAATCTTCTCGAGTATGCCATTTGGATGGACAATATTGATTTGCTTGTCTTTTTGCTTGATTTGGGACAAGATCAGATACTCAGTAACGCTACTGTCGAATTCCAGGCTTTCAGTGTTCCCAACAGAGCAGTCCATCTGGCTATAGCAGAGGGTCGACTACAGTGTCTTGAAGAACTTATCAAGCGGACGGGGGCAGACCTCCCACTCGACGCTCTGGTTCAGGAAAGCGGCGTTAAAGCGCATGAAAGACCAAAATACTACCAAGGGCTCTCTATTCATGGAAAGAAGAGGGCAGACTGGGCAGCTGCTGGGCGCGAGCCAGTGCTCACCTATGCGAATAAGAGCTCACCCTTACTTGTTTCCGCCATCCTGGGTAGCCTGAGAAGCACCGAATGGTACATGGGTACTGCCCCAGGCCGTCATTATCTTGAGTTCGCCAAGACACATAAGCAGGATAGTCGACTGAAGCTCCTAGCAAAATCAACTAGTGGCATAGAGAAGTCAATTATGAGTTGGCTTAATGCGAAAAGTATGTAAACACTACCGGGTTATCTTATTTTCGAATACTAACTGCTATAGGTCACTTGGTCCTTCATTGCGCCATTCTTTCCAGGCCTACTTTGGAATCTTTGCGCCTTGTTGAATATCTTGTTCAGCAAGTCCCAGAATGTCTCGAGACAAAGTGCTCAGGGAAATATACTCCATTGGCCCTTGCATACTCTCTTAATAGGGTGGATTATGCCGAAGTCCTTATAAAAGCAGGTGCCAACCAGACAGTTCGAGATACCAGGGGTAACAATCTTATCCATCTCCTGCTATGTGGGATTGATGGCGGGACCTTAGGAAGTGTTGAGAGCATAGAGAGGCTTCTAAGGCTGCTTGATCCTCGCGTGGTTCCTTCGTTGCTTATTGAACGCTCATCAGATGATCCGGGATCGCTTACTCCATTTGCCCGCTTCATGCATCAAGCCAACTTTCATGGATCCCAAGCAGATGAGATAGTTGATATCGCACGCAGATTCCTGATGTTTGCCAAGCCGACCGGACAAAAGCATTTGGAGCTACTTGACGGCACAGGCAATACACCGGTTCATTATGCAGTAAAGCATAACCTGGTTAAGATGCTCGAGTTGATGATGGACTATCGACCCGACCTATTGTGTCGTGAAAATGCTACAGGCAGCACGCCATTAGATCTGGAAGAGGATACTTGGATACTAAAAGCAACGGCGAACCCACCTGAAATTCGAAGCACAGGTCGTCGATCCTGGAATAATCGCGGAAGTAGCGACGAAAGCATCGTCAGTCTGGCTCCAGAGTCCTTCCTTCCCGACTCTTGCCTACCAGAGAAGAGCTTACGCGACGTATGCCATGAAAGGGTTAGCGGCCAAGTGGCCAAGCGGAAGCTAGTGTCTTTGAATGAAGCCAACGAGGTAGCGAAGCGATTAGCCACCCGGAAGTCTAGCTCATGGGGATGGCATGGGCGACAATGGTTTACAGAAAAGGATGATGAGGTGACCAAATGGTATAGTCGTTCTAGCCGACGCCACGAGCTGGGCAATGTCATGGAAAGCTGATGTGCTGTACATGAAAACTTTCCTTCAGTTGTTCTTGGGTCTGCTCTATTTCGTCTGGTCTTGTTTAATGCTATACTATACTATATCTACTGCCTAATGTTAACGGCCGGATGTGGCTTCGGCAGTTGTTTGTGTGAGAGTTACCAATCGAATTGTTTATATGCTCCAGAAGTATTGGTTTCTCCCCGACTAAGACATTAAACAAAGCATCATTTATTCGTATCTGGCCCCACCAGGCTTAGCTTATTGTCAAAATCGCGGAGGTCGGATATTTTTCCAGGTGAAGTGGTCTGCATTTCCGCCTGTTCACGTGGATGAAATGGGACTGAAGGTTCCACCTCCTGATCCTCTCCCCCATTTCCCCAATCTTGTCTCTTTAGATCTTCTCTCTTGGCTCTCCTTGGCAAACAACATATGATGTATCGATCATGCCCTCCCCACGTGGGGTTGCACATTAAGAACATGAGCTTCAATCCGAGCCGGAGGTGTCATGGCGGAAAAGTCACAATGACCTATATATTCCTGACTCACGCCCCCAGCTGGAGCCAAATCGCCCCAACCTTCTGAATCCACGGAGCATCATCTCATGTCTTGGTCCAATATGTCGATCGCGAAGCCAGGACACTCATTAGACCTCCAGGATGATAAAGCGCCTGATACCATGTACTAGGAGAGAGCGCCCGCAATTGTCACTGTGGAGAATTTTCGGATATTGGGATTGGAGCCAGACGATGAGGAATTTTATCTCAGATATTCGTCAGAGCGGAGGAAGGTAACCCGTCGGAAGGTTTGTGTTGTTTGCTTCGATTCAGTGTGCAATACATTACACAACAGTTAGTGCTGATGATTGTTGTATAGGTCGATGTCCACCTGGTTCCTATGTTAGCAGTATTATACCTCGTATCTCACCTCGATAGAGCAAACATCGGAAACGCTAAGATCGAGGGCATGATGGACGACCTTGGCCTCGATGGCATCCAATGGAACATTGTACTGAGCGTATTCTTCGTGCTATATGTCCTTCTCGGTACGTTCCTTGGAAATGTCCGTTGGAGGCGACCAAGCTAACAGCACCCAGAGATTCCTAGTAATATGATGTTGAGAACATTCTCTCGGCCATCTGTGTACCTGGGCGTCTTGATCGTCTCCTGGGGCATCATCATGACGTTGACCGGAGTCGTGCAGAACTTTGCTGGCTTGATGGTGACTCGTGTTCTACTAGGTATTTTCGAGTATGCTAGTCAGAGTGGAAATGTAAGATGGAGGTATAGGGCTAATCCTAAGTAGGGCAGGCTTCTTCCCCGGTGCCGTCTACCTTTGTAGTCAATGGTACATGCCAAAAGATTTGTCTACTCGTCTCGCTTATTTCTACTGTGCTAGTGCCCTATCTGGCGCGTTTTCGGGACTCCTTGCGGCTGCTATCGCAAAGATGGATGGTGTTGGTGGATATGAAGGTTGGCGATGGATCTTTATTCTTGAGGGCTTGGTCACCGTCATCCTGGGTGTCGCCTGCTTCTTCTTCCTTATTGACTCACCCTTGCTATCTAGTCGATGGCTAGAGCCAGACGAGATTCGTTTTCTCGAGTTGCAGAAGTTCATCAAGGAGGGAGGACCGTTCAAAAATGAAGAGCAGGATAAGAATCAACGGTCCCGATGGAAAGATCTCGTTGTTGTAATGAGTAATTGGCGCATGTATATCTTAGCCTATATTCTGTGTATAGCGTCCCGAAGCCTAATTCACCCTGCTCAGAATAATTTCTGACCATCATTTCTGATTCAGGAATCTGGAGGTGGCTCTTTGCTCTCAATCTTCCGTTGGCTAGTGCTTCGCTTGCCGTGATCTGTGTATCTGTGAAACCTCGCATACGGCATAGTGATTTCAGGCAAGCACTGTCTCGTGTGGACTGGCCAGGATTTGGTATCTGTATCCCTTCTATGACAAGCTTTTTGATACCTGTCACATGGGGAGGAGAGACGTTTCCCTGGTACAATTGGCATACTCTAGTACTACTATCACTTGGGGTCTTTGGTCTCTCTCTCTTTACGGTCTATGAGACATGGATTGCGCATGAGCCGTTTCTGCTCCGGAGCATCTTCCACGAGTGGAAGATGTCAATCTGCCTGCTCATACGGTATGTATCCCTGACTCCCGGGGTTTGGTTGACTGATAATATATATACTGATGAACGATTAGGCAATAAATTCACACTCCCTACCATAACAGAAGCTATGGGCTTCAAGAGCACCAATGCCCAACTCATGACCGTGCCCCCCTACATTGCCGGCGCCATTTCTGCTGTGTGTTTTTCCAGTCTCTCAGATCGATTCTACTGGCGGATGCCGTTCGTTGTGATTCCTCTCGCTCTGTTGACAATCGGGTATAGCATCATCATCTCGTTTGATGGTAAGTTAGCAGACAACGTCGGCCCAAGCTTCTTCGCCGTTATCCTGGCTATGATTGGTCTCTACCCTGTCCATCCGGCCCACACATCTTGGACCGCAAATAACCTGATTCCATCCAACCGACGGGCAATCGGTGTGGCATTTAATATCTGTGTTGGGAATATTGGTGGTGTTATTGGGAGCTACATGTATATGGACACTGAGAAGCCGAAATACTACACCGGATTCGGGTTATCCGTAGCCTTTGGGGGCTCAGCATTGATCCTGGCATTGGTGTTGAAAGCTTCGTTCTGGTGGGAGAATAAGAGGAAATCGAAGCTGTCGCAAGCGGAGGTAAGAGAGCGGTACACAGAGGAGCAATTGTTGGATATGGGCGATAAGTCACCTTTGTTCAGGTATACGCTGTAAGCTATAAGCAGTCATGATTATGCTGACGACCCATGATACGTATTTCCAGTTCTATATACACTTTGAGTACTCTTTATATATGTACATGCTAGGTTGTCTCTAGCTGAGGGGCTCAAGGGGTCACAACAGCCACTTGGCCTCTTACCGGAACGTTCTGGTTAGTCTCGGTAGATGGAAACCCGTGTACATTGACGCCCTTGCGGAACAGCAAACAATGTGTCGACCCGCCGAAGTGGAACATTCCAATCTCGTCTCCTTTTCTCACATGCTGTCCCTCTGACACTGTAATATCGCAAGTCGAAACCTCGCACATCCCCACACCGAGGAAAGCCATCAGCCCTATGGCAGGATTGTCACTCTCAATAAAGATCAACGCCCGTGTCGCAGTGGCCGTAATATACTCCTGGGCCGTCACTTCACCAACTGCATCAATATCATGGGGGCGTGGATCCCCTAATCCTTCGAACAACGGCTCCGAGTAATACGTACCATCAACGACGTAGGCTTTCACAATCTTTCCACTAACAGGCGCATGCCAACGGTGATAGCTCAAGGCGCTCAGGAAGGCCTGGTAGATAGTTCCGCCGACAAACTTTTCAGCAAGAGAATCATGCGCCAGCATATCCAAAACCGAGTACGGCTGACTCTTTATCCAGAAAACATCTCTTCCCTTGACATCGCGGGCTACTTTGTATGGCTGCGACTCGCATGCGTTGGCGATGACATTGTCGTCATCAGGGGATGCCACGGGCCGAATACCAGGCCGGAAGACACGGGTAAAAAAGTCATCCCATGATTTGTACCCGTGGTATTTCTGAGAAGGGTCACAGACAAACATATCCTCGAAGGAATAGTTTGTCTGCCCTACATTGGCGACGGTGATGAGGCTATTCTTCCCTGTTTCACCGAACCACCCGTACTGTGAATCATCTAGTACATGAGCCGACTCTGGTGACTTCAGATACTCGCCCCAAGCATTGAGAACCTTCTTAATCATAGCGTTGATGTCCGGATCCAGGAACGCTGCATATCCACTGGGTGTCCCCATGGGCCAGTCCAATACTGCGTTAATGGGTAGCCCGACGAGACCGACCCGATGGGTGAAATCACTCCAGGAAGGTGCTGTCGTAAGAAGATGGTTCAGTACACGGAGCATATGCTGGTAATCCCGGATCTGAGGACACCCGGTTGGATCGGTGGCGTAGACTCTGTTGCGCGGGACCTCGGTGAACATAGCTTCAATGAGAAGGAAGACTCGAGTGTTGGTTTCGATGAGCTGTTGAAACTCTTTCAGTACTGGGTGAAGCTCGCGATCAGATTTGCTATCAACGTGGGCAATTAGGCCGCCCAGCCATTGGTGGTGGCTGTCTAGAGTGGATGGCATCCATTTCCCCAACCTGGTCTTTGTCAGCTTGTGAAGTCTATGGAGAGGTATTGAATGGAAATATTACTTGTGAAGACGGGGTGTGTGCTTTCCATGCTTGTGCGTCATGGTTCTGGGAATGAAGCGGTAATTATTGACTATGATCGTAGGATATGGTGGTCAGGAGGATAGATGATATACATCTCGGCAGTACAATTAGCGTCTATTTATATATTTTGAGCTTGGCGACTTTGATTTCTGAGTAGTGAAAGAACAATTGCATCATGATGATGCAGAAGTTCGGTTTGGCACTTTCAATAGTATGGTTGGGCGTGGAGCTGTGGATAACTAGTACTACTAAAAGAATTGTGGAAGAAAATGAACGTTCTACTGAGAATCACGCGGATGATGTCATGTGGCTGTTTAAGTCTTATCTTATCGCTGATCTGTGCACCTTCCTAATTGGGACGTCGGAGTACTCAAAAGAGTGCGTCGTGGGATCTCGACGGTGTCGTATCTTCCTTAAGTGAACTATTCAACTCAGTGCAGATTACCTATATTTGCGGCTTTGATACCGGAATCTGAAGGATATATACTTTATCGTACCGTATTGTATGCGTCTAGGCTTGATATCCTACAGATGTGATCCCAGGATAGCCTAAGTCCTAGCGAGGTGAGCTGCCAATCCTTATTTTCTGCATAGGTAACAATCGCATAGCAAAATGGGAAATCCAGTTAGTGAGCCATCCAATAGGCCCATTAGCACCAACGACAAGCGAATACGGCGAACAGATGATCATCTAAACACCCCTCAAGTTGGGCGATGAACAACATATACTGGTAGATTATATGGCTAATCGGTGGGAACAACTGGTCATTGTCGGCTGAGCAACTCGACTCACTATAGAATCTTTCGAATACAGTGATATATATGGAGCAGCGCCCTATCAGGGTTCTATTAGACTCCCTGGCAGCTATAGCTCGGCTACAAGACTATAGATCTGGCCCAGGGCAAGGCTGGGCAATTCAGGCCCAAGATACAGTTCGAAGGCTTGAGGACCAAGGATGTCAAACTACTATCCAATGGGTCACAGGTCATCAAGGTATACTAGGGGATGAGAAGGCTGATCAAGCTGCTAAGATAGCTGCAGAAAAGGCCCCCAGAGGCATAGACAGGAGCCCCAGTCTAGTGTATCTACGCAGAACATTCACTGAGGCAAACCAGGCCCAGAGACAACGATGGCTTGTACAGGCCCTGGAGAAACGATCCTACAGAGCCCAACAGCGCTATCGACCCCAGAAAGGATGGAAACTAGATCTGGTAGCGGGAGCAGCACCAAAACAACTCGCTCGTCGATACTGTCAGCTAAAGGTTGGGCACGCAGCAATACCGACTTACCTTAGTCAGATAGGGGTCCAAGACTCACCTAGATGTCAGAGCTGCCAGGCTCCACAGGGAACAACAGGCCACCTACTAGTTGAATGTAGGCAATGGCACCACCAGAGACGGGCCTTGAACAGGGCCCTAGTCAAGGCAGAGGGAAATAGCCCTAGAATGCCGCCTCTTTGAGGACTAGAGGGCCACGAATACCCTAATGACCTTCCTTGCAACGACAAATATCGGCTACTTCCCCTGGGAAGCAGCCAGTGAGATAAATAGGGCCTATAGGGACGACCTTAGGGGCCTAGAGATAGTGGAGGAAGCAGAAAGTAAAGGAGAGGGATAGTAGAAAGGGCAATCTAGGGACACCTAGATATCGCCCAGCAGGTAATGAACACCGAGGAGGGCATATAGCCCAAAGGATCTGGCGCAGACAGGCGGCTTGGGCAGGGAAGAGGACCAGAATGACATACAAATGATAAAGGGAGCTGATAGAGCCCCTAGGGACTATCTAGAGACAGTGGCCTTGGCCACTGCCTAGGTACATTTCGCTGTCATAACCAACGGCTCGATATGGATGTTAGACTTGATTAATAATAATAATATATGGAGCAGCCCTTATATTCCAGTTGGGGGATGATTAGATAACTCAATCAAAGACGAATGATCAACCAACGGTTGATGCCTGGCCCTTTTTGACACAATCCTGTCGAAAAATCCCTGGGATGAACGCCGATCATCTGTCATTAACTTCGGGCTATACCCGTATAGCTTCTTCGAGGATTTTCAAGCATGAAGAGTGAGAAGTGGAACGAAATGTTGATCGATATGAAAAGGTCGCTCCGGATATTGTAGACTCAGCAAGGTAGGTTTGAAGAAGTTACTATATAAACCATATAGCACTACTAATCGCATAGATAACAGTTATCGCTGGCAATATTAGACTATCGTAGTGAAGAGACTGTACACGCAACGTAGCAGTTGGTTTGGATCACAATATCTCAAACTACAACAATGTGGTAACTCGTATTCGAGCTTTGTACTGGGCTCGAAATGACTCAAATTTTGTCTCACGTCTCAAATGTCATCAGTTATCCTAACCACAGAATCTAGACTTGACGATATTTTTGATCGTTTCATATTTGCGAATACGATTGGTGTGGAAGTAATACCGTAGGTGATCACCTGACGAACGGTCCCACCTGACGAACGATTTCTCACACAGCAACCACATTACAAATGAAGCCATAGAGCCACACACAATTCGAATTATATAGAAAAATTTTGGAGTATATAAGCTAAGCTTAATCAGAAGCTATAGATTACTTTTAATTATCCCGAAAACGCTTTGGTAGCCGAATCTGCCGTCCTCGACGATTTTGTATTGTAGGGGCATCTTCAACAACACCAGCAGTTAAATGACCAGTATCTTCATGATCTTTAGCTATAAGAGATTTAGGGGGTTTGTTCTTGCCTTTTCTAGCCTGCTTAAAGTTATTTTGAAGCTGGATATCAGC